CCTTATCTATCACTCATGAAAATCTGGTTACTGCTAATTTCATTATTCTGAAGATTACGGATCAGTGGACGCACAGATAATGATAACAGTTTTAATGAACATGCAGGTGCGACGAATTGTCACCGAGCGCTTGCGATTTCCCCGAGTACCCACATTACGAATAGTCGACATTATTTTGAATTTGAATTGATTAATTAATTGATTATTAATTGATGAATTTATTAATTTTTTGATTAATATTTTTTCAAATATTTTTGAAAATTTGAATTGATTAATTTATTCAAATTACTTAGATTTACTCAACACGTGTGACCATGCACTATCGAAATCTAATTATTTCGATACGTCAATCTTTCCTCGGTAGCTAGAGGAACTGATAATGAGTTTGAGTTCAAACTTCGGTCGCTTTGGAGATACGTATGGACGTAAAGATGCACTTCTATAGGACCACAGATTCCTCTTATAGATCGACTAAATTTCAGGTATGACTTGGAGTTCACCCAATGAGAAGTAGTATGTAGTGCCTGATTTGAAGTGGATGTATCGCCCCAAGACAGGCGGCTTCAACTGGATTCTCAAATCTCCAAGAGGGGTCGCGTTCTTTTACGGACGCGTGGGAAGAAATTAGCTTCAACATGAAGCGTTCAAGGCAAAAAAGAAACGTAGAGATTTCGTCAGTTTACTGATGCTGGGATATGCGATTATGAGCGAAAAATACACAATGATCATTTATTCTTCTCTGCACTTTTAGAAAAAACAAGTTAAAATCGGAACGTATTTTTTCGATACTTCAAGACTACATACATATTTCAAAAATGTGTTCCTATTTGTCATTCGAAATTAACCTATCAATCTTTATAATAATTTTGCTCATAAAATCAGATAAACTGTTATTTTTTCTAGAAAAATAATACTATTTCATATATGATTAATACTCATCATGTCAATCTTTCCTCGGTAGAGAGAGAAGCTGATACGACTTTGAGTTCAGACTGTGGTCGGTTTGGAGATACGTATATGGACGAATAGAGATAAATTTCTATAGCATAGCATAGTGGAGTCGGCGCTGAAGAGTAGGCCTAATGTGGCCTGTCGCCGATTCTTGTAGTTTTCGTGGCGTGTCCTTATAGGAGATTTAAAAACAGGTCCTTCTACCGGATCTCTTCCAAACGGTCGATAGTTCGAAATGTTCTTATAGATTGACTAAATTTCAGGTATGACTTGGAGTTCACCCAATGTGAAGTAGTATGTAGTTCCTGATTTGAAATGGATGTATCGCCCCAAGACAGGCGGCTTCAGCTGGATTCTCAAATCTCCAAGAGGGGTCACTCCAGTGGGCAGCTGAGCGATCACGGCATTTGATGTTTCTACAGAAGAAGTACCAAGTCGCACTGTTACGGATTTAAAAAATGCTGGTTTAGAACGAAGTGCAACTCGTATCTCGGCTACCAGAACATTTTTCCCAAAGTCAACTTGTAGGTAGTTGTAAACGCCGTTGTCACCGTCGAAACGCCTAGCTTCATACCCGCTCGTCTGACAGAAGAATCCGTCAACGAAGAATCTGCTACCGCGCTCGTCATTGTAAGGAGGACTTGAAGTCGTGATCATCGTATCTCTGATGATGCTATCAGTTGAAGTCCAGGATGAGTAACACACGTCGTAAGTCTCCGTCGTGGCATCAGGTGGTATCCCGGAAAACCAGTGGGCCGAAAAAACCGACGTGATGGCACAGATGGATCGTTCTGTTGATGGTAAATGTGAATTTGATTTCAGAATGATTCTTCTCAGGACCATTTCTCCAGAATATAATAATAAAAATGAGGAATAAAATGTCAAGAATCATATTGTATTTACCATAACTGAAGCAGTACGAGACGCAGGTTGCACTAAGCAAGCAACGTCCAGCGCATTCCGTGAGGGTGAGCGATGTTGAGTCGTACACTCGGTAGTTGTCCGATATCTTGCACAAGGAGAAGAACGTCTTCACAGCAACCTGGAATACGTCCAGTTGAATGAATACGTATGGGGAACTATTTTTTACAACACTTCTCTTTATTTTCACTTCCTGTTGTTTGTCTATCTGCTACAAATTTTACAATCGATATTTGACACACTTCAACCTGTCCAATCGATCTGAAATTTTGCTCACTTGCCCAAAGTAAGAAGCAATGCATGAGTCAGTTGACAGAATAAACAATTTTGAAAATAAAAGAAATTTATATACTAAAAAATTTTTAAATTGATTTTTTTGATATATGAAAATAAAATTAGAAATTTATTGTACATGTGTAACATCAAAGACACTGGATTCTTTGGAAGTGCTGTCTTTGAATAGTAATTTTTGAACGCATATCATTATTACAACAATCCTCTAAAACTTCACTTCTTGTTGTCTGCTACAAATCTTATAATCGATATTTAACAAACTTCTACCTGTCCAATCGATCTGAAATTTTACACACGTGAGTTAAGTCGGAGACATTGCATGAACCAATTGACAGAATAATTAATTTTAAAAAGTAAAAAACTATATATTAGAAAAATTTAAAAGATAATTTTTGTTAAAAATATTTCGAAATAAAGTAAGAAATTCATTGTACATGTGTAACATCGGAGAAACTAGCCTCTTTAGAAGTGTAGAAGTGTTGCCTTTAAAAAGTATTTTTTAAACGCATATAATTTATTGAATGTTAATTGTGCTAATTTTCACTAAAATCGGAACCATTGGCATCAATCAAGATTTTTTTCTCGTTTATTACTTTAATTTAATTAAGTCATCGTGATTTGAACTTCAATTGAATGATCAGTATTGGATATGTTATCATAGTTTGGAGCTTTCATTTACAATGAGTTAAACAGCTGGATTTTTTATATTATCCACAATTGTAGGCTGAATTTTAGAAAAATTCTTCTTTTCCTTCCTTTATGGGCTTGCTGAATTTCAACAAACTTAGAACATAACCTCTCATGATCGAAAACTAATTTCTTGAGCCTATTTTGAGAATCGAAACACAATGCTGACTTACCTTCTGGAATCTCTTTTTCACAATTCCCCCTTGGACGTGGCTGAGCAGCAGCCCTGCTACTCCCGCCGAGAGGAGAAAGAACCAGCAAAACTTCGAACTCATTTCCAGAGGTTATTTTTCTTAAATCTGCATTTAATGCATGAAAATAAAATTTCGTCCCCTTACTAATATTCCTTTCCGCGAGTAATTGCTGTTTTTCATGAATTATTGTCGAAAGAAACAGAAAAAATATTCAACTAAATTTTTTGAAGTTTAAACAGAAAGTAGGTGGTAAATTTTGAATATTTGGGCTCAAATCAAATGTATTTTATCTTACATTCTCTGCTCAGTGTCCTGTATCATGTTTACGGACAGAGACTCAAGTTACGATGCAGTTCCGATGAACTGCTATTCCCGAATGATAAAGTTAGCCAAGCCAGACTATGAATTCTGGTATGAATATTTGTTTCCAATCCCAGCACATGACCAAGCAGAAATGACCACAATATAGAAAGCCTAAGTTTTATCATGCATGCACGATAGCATTAATGATAAAAGCATGCACGATAGCATGCAAGTTCGTAGCTTAATATGTGGTATTAGGTCTAGAGGCTGAGATTAATCTAAGAAGTTTTATCGTAAAGAACGATATGAATTGGAATTCTTTATTTTATTGAACTGTGAAAATACCTGTGCAAATCTAGCCCGAACAAAAGTTTGTGATATCGACGCAAAACAAAAGGGCTTATGAATTTCTCCGTGTAATATAATAATCGGAAGAAATTTGTAATAACAAGGATTAACTCCACCCTGATATTTATACCGATAACGCATGACCAATCATACCGATAACACATAACAAAACCGTCATGCGGATATTGCATTGTAAATGAACGCTATGCCTTCAATATATATAAGTCAGCATTTGTATTTGCACTAGTAGTTACAGTAATAATTCCTTAGGAAATTACTTAGGGTTTTTTCTTTTATTCGAGTAATGCAAGCATTGTGAAATAATATACGTAAAAATAACCCTCTCATATACAATAGATATATGTAAAATACTAGTTCCCAGGTATTGTTTACGAATCAATGAATTAATAATAATGAATAATAATAGCGGTTTCTGCGTTTATTAGGCCGTAGGCATGTCGCCGATTCTTTACATCGCAGAACATCCACAGCTTGTTGCGGTCTCGAACTCACAACTCACTGCTACAATTCTGCTGAGCTTAACCGCCCGGCCTCCTTGCCGATTTTGACCAGGAACTGACGCACAGCGCTGGGATCGAACCCGCCCCTCTCTGCTCCAATCCTGGTACACTGAACTGTAACCACTGGGCCACCCCAGTGGTTGTTCAATTGGTTGTTCAAATTATGTAAAAAAATTGAAATACTTTATACGATACTTTTGTTGCCGTTGTTATTTCTTTTTCTTTCTGGACATTTCAAAATCAACAACGTCTACAGGCAACACGAGTTATTGTTCTGCAGCACTTAACCAAGGCACGTTTGGCGCTCACGATAGTTTTGTCCTCGTCGCTTGAAAATAAGCAATAATACGGAATACTGGCCGCATCATCGTAATGAGGTAATTTTTATACCTAGTTTATGCCAATTCCTTGCACATCACAGCTCCAAAATCAGAGCATCAAACTATGAGATTTTGTATCGACTGTAAAACGTGTTCAAAAGTTCTGGGACCTGTGAAGACGAACCTCAACTTTTGGACCCGGCCAAACAAAGTCTATCATGCAGACTACAACCTTTCATTTTAGCCTATCTGCAACATATATTAGAGGTTACAAATAGCCTTCAGCGAATGAGCATTTTTTAATTTTAACGAAAAAAATATTATAAACAGGAACATTTTTATCATATTTGAATTTCCCAAAAACAAGGTTACCTAATTTATAGAGACATGATGTCAATAAATGGTTCTGTAATAGAGTATTGTTCTTTATAAGCAATCAGGTGATAAAGTATGGTTCTTTAAAATCAATCAGGAATCTCTCGAAAATGTTCTCTACTTAAATTTGAATCGGCTCATGGTACCAAAATGCTGCTCGCTATAATTACTGAATTAGCAAGAAGCTCTCATAGAATAGGCAAGAGAAAATCCAACGTTGTACGCGTCCGTGGGCGTTTCTGTGCTGTCGGTTTTCACGTGTAGCTTGAAGGGCTGAGTACCTGCGCCTTTAAAAAATGAATGAAGATCAAGACATAATCATCTTAATTATGTGATGCCGTATCTTCCATTGAATTAATGATGTGAAATGGACATGAAAAATTTCGGTATAAGTTAACATATTTAGGTTCTATAGCTAATTAAAAACCATTGTCTTCAACCCCTTTTACAAAGACTCATTTGGATTTTGAAATATCGAGCATTTAACTGGTTAGACTTCTTGGTTCAGATTATTTCTGTAAGATACTTTTGACAAAACCGAGAAAAACGCACTCTTTGCAAATACGCAAATTTTACTATTAAATTCCCTATCTAAAGATGAGCCTCATAGCTGCGATGTGATAGAAAAGTTAAGTTAGAGTTTGAAACTGACAGCAGTTTCCAGCAATAAATACCGGTCACAAGTTTCAGACTTGAGTAAATCTAATATTAAAATCTTCCGCTACATGTAATCTGAAGAGATAAGATTTAAAGTGAAGTCAGATATATGATGGAACAATAATTTTTCTATCATTAAAAAATATCTTACTTTTTACGGAGGCCGGGAAATTCATGCCGCAGAAAGTGTCACCCACGGAGCCCGGCGGCAGGACGGACCACGAGTCGGTGATGACCGCCCCAGGGATGGTCAGATAGTCCGTGGTGCAGGATGTCGTCCCGACGAGCCCGGGAGGCGGAGTACCCGCTGCATAAAATGAGAATTTTCTACAGAAATAAGTTAAATTGCACCCTAATTTTCGAAAAGGAAACTATGAAAAATGTTAATTGATATAACACTATATTTTCCAGCGTTTCTTTATGGTGCATGTAACGGTTAGGTTATATTCATTAATAAATTTCTGGATACATTATAACATGAATGCGCACATTACCTATTCCTGCTAAACAACCAGCTTAAACGGAAATGTTTTCAACATTTTGCAATGATGAAATGAAAAGACCGACTTTAGATCAACCACACAACGAATTCAATTCTACTAAATCCGTTGCATTGAAGTACTGCACCATTATTCAAGAAATAATCAACTAAACGATCTGACAGATCCTTTAATTAACTGAAGAATCAAAATCCTACTACAGGCTGATTATGGTTAAAGTCATCTAATGCAATGTTGTCCGCTCAAGGAAAAACACTCTACCATATAGTGCTCATATAACTAACAACTAAATTATACCCACGAGGATAAGCACTCGGATCTCCACTTAATGAGAAGCTGTCGTCGTTGGGGAACTCAGAGCTTTTGGTGTACGCGACGCTGCAGAAGTCCGGCTGCGTCGCAAGGCACACCGTGTAATCTTGGTTTGAAAGCTGACGGGTCTCTGTTATGATATCTAGACTTATTTATCGTAATAAATTCAATGCCGTACCTTATCTTATTTCAAACCTCAATTCAAGGCTCAAAGTTTTTTTTGTAACCGGTCTATGTCAGCCTTCTCTTTCAGCACAAACTAGCGATAATCAACCAATTTACCGAATCTTTCTTTCGCTTTCTTCAACGCCTTCAAGAACAGCCTAGACGAAGCTATGCAGGAGCATATGTTCAGTCTTAAAATGTCTAACAAATTACGAATCAGGCAATAAGTCCAGCAGCTATCTCAATCAATCGTCAGTTTTGGAAAGATCGGGTTCCATAGGCCGGAACCTTTGTAAATCAAGGCCTATACTTTCAAAAAAAGTTAAGAGATCTTAAGTTCATCAGCCAATCATTGACGGGCTTTCAAGCAAAATCCACCAATCATAGACAAGAAAATAGAGCGTATGTACTATACGTTCACAGTTAGCGAGTTTTGAAAGTACTGGCCCAGGTCACGAAAAATTAAAGAATCGGCAACAGGCCATGGGCCTATTCCTTCAGTGCCGACACTTCTATTCTTGCCGCAGCACGAAATAGATTGTAAATTTTTTTGAGGAGGTATGTATTAACAGCAATGTTCTTATTTTTACCTCTCCCGAATTTAATCTTTGAATCACTATTTGAAACTATGAAGAGAACATCGAAAATACATGAAAACTTTCATGAACGAAAGTAAGTTTATTGAATGGGATGGTAAACTATGTAATGATAAACAAGTATTGTTGTATTTTTAATGGGTTCTTGGTTTAAATGAACTCCGATCGAACCACAAATAAAACAACGGTATTTATGATAGCATTAATTTTCAAAGCGTGAATCTCTCTGGGATTTCATATAGATGCTTGGTGTGATAATTCAGTTTTGTGATCACATCAGTCTTTACAGCACATACATGAAAATGATTCTCAATATCAACTCACCTCGACTGGGCGAAGTACACTCGATCTGGGTTACCGAAATTTGCCACTTGCTGCCCGCCGTTGACGTTTTTACGTCCAAGACAACATTATTAAAACCGGGAGTCACTTCGAAGTACACTGTAAATAAAAATATGCAGCTCATCATAATGGGTAGTATGAGAATTCTAAACATTTGCCTATTCGCTTTAAGTTAAATATATAATAAAACAAATCAGCGTATTTAATTAAAAGTCTTCTTCAGTGAGTGACGAATTCGGTGAAATTCCATCAGCCAGTAAGCGCTGTAAAACAAGACACATTACGGAATTGAATAAGTCTATGTCTACTTTACCCTTGACCGCGCATTCTCAATAACCATATTTCTGTCTCTGGAGCGGAAATAAAAACAAGCAGCTGATGAATAGAAAGCAATCGGCCGGAGTCAGTAAGCTCACAATGCTGCCTCGGACATGACGCCTTACTCACTATGCGGCCCCCAACACGACGCTTAACTCACTATGCTGCCCCCAACACGACGCTTAACTCACTATGCGGCCCCCAACACGACGCTTAACTCACTATGCGGCCCCCAACACGACGCTTAACTCACTATGCTGCTTCGTATTCTCTCCACATATAACGGGGACCGCTGACGTTGCGCCTGTGACTGTGAAGGCGTCCTGGTCACACACTCCCTCGGCATTGGGGCCTGCTAAGGTGAAGGCTCCGAAGTCCAGGCGGATCTGACAAATGTTGTTATTGGCAGGTGTGATGGCAAGGGGGCAGCTGTTGTAGGATGTCATCTCAGGATTAGGGTAGCTTGGATTCTCAAAGACGGCCGCGGCATATTTCGCCGTGAGATAGCATCCATCGTATATAACTGAAAATTGAGTTAAACTTGTCTAAAAATATCCTCAAGAAGTTTAAAGTAAACCTCAATATATGTGTAGGGTTAAAATTTTGGGTGATAGATACTGCAGATAATCAATTTTTTTTACAAAATATTGATTTTGGGAAGTGTTATGCTTCCCGACTTTTAATTTTCATGGGACCTCTCCACCTACATGTACAACAAACTCCGACCCCAAGAGCGCAACTTCCATCGCCGACTCCTTCAGGAAATTCGTTGCAGTCGCTCGGCTTGTAGCAAATGCCGGTGGTTCCTGAGTCGGACGTGCAAGGATCTGGCTGAACGTTCACTATGTCTCGACTCCCTAGAACAGAATTTCATAATTTTTTTTTTTATAATAGCTTATTTATTTCTAAATATGTCATCTATCTACTATATGATGAAAATTTCAAAAATATTCGTGAAATTGCATGTGAGCTTGAAATTTCAGCCTTTAGCTAACTACACTTTTTGCTGAAATAGTATAGACAGTTTTGATTTGATCCTTGTTAGCTTCTTAGCACGATGCTTCATTATGTGACAATATCTGCCATGAAAAACCAGAAATGGCATATTGAATCACTATGTTGTACCCCACTACAAACTGAATGCGTCCGCACAAAAATCAGAGGATATTTGTAGCTATAATTTCAATAAATAGGTTTTATCAACTCACATTTCCAACTCGTTTCTGCTGGCTTTCCGCCTGCGCCGAAACTTTTCATCTCAGGGAGAACTTCTGAGCTTGACATCAGACCCAACATGGTCCACAAAACTACGCAAATAACGTGAAAATTTCGTAAACAGCTCATATTGAAATGCTGTAGACACAACCATTGCAGATTATTTTATGATCGAGACAATTCAAGATCAAAAATTTTCGTTAATTTATAAACAAGTCCCTTAACAAGTTAACAAGTCCCTTAATAACAATAATAACAAAATAACAATACTCTTTTTTGTCCAGGACTTTCAGTCGTACGCACCATTTTTAACGCATTTTCTCATTTATGGAAAGAAAAGTGCTACTACAGTGCTCGCTATGTCCGTCCGTCCGTCTTTCCGTCTGTCTGTCCGTCCGTGACTTCACGTTTTCGTCGACGAGAAAATGTGCTCTCTGTCACTCACTGCAGTGAGTACTGAGTTATATTTTTTTATATATCGCACGATAATAATATATATATATATGTGGGGTACCTCTCTCACGGTACCCATTACATTACATTTTAAACGAATTTTTCGCCCGCATGAATTTTATTAAATGTTATACCTTTTTCTTTAATTTCATTATACATGCATTCATATTGTATAATCAAGTAAATTTTATCGTAAATACTCGTTCAACTTAATGCCTAATATTGAGCAAAAATGAGTGCTTCCTACTTATAACTGCACCCGAAGATAAATCTTGAAAATAAGTTATCTAATAGAACTAATTGAATTATAGAAATAGTTTGCACAGACTATTTCCTTTTTGATTCGAGAATGGCGTCGCATTTCTGGTGAATATTATTTGATTTTTGGTTCGTTGTAAACCGATGAAAAACAGTTTATATCTTAATGTTCCGGTCTCGCTACTTTTACTTCTTTGCTTTAAGCCCACGAAATGATGTAACTTATTTGTCACAAAGCAGACTTTGAAAGACAGCTGCCTTCATTTTACCAGGCATTCTTCAATCAACTGCCTTCTTGTATTATCACGGCTGGGGGTCTTTGTATCAAAGTCAGATGGTAATTTTCTCAGAACGATTATCAATAAATTCTAGCAAGCCATTCGTTATCTCCTTTCCAATGAAAAATAATACATCTAGCGGAATCTACCAGTTTGTTCTTTTTAAGTAATTAAGAATAAGATTTATTTGAAATTATAGACAGGATTTTTTTAATGATACCTGCTCTGAACATTAGCTAAATTTTGAATGCGTTTCTAAAACATATAGCATATCAGAAGTAACCAAGCATGTGCATAATTGCGTATCGACTGCTTACTTGTCCAGAGGTTTTACACGTTTCGCGAGGTACTCCACCATGTGCTCCACCAGGTACCCCACCAGGTACCCCACCAGGTACCCCACCAGGTACCCCACCAGGTACCCCACAAGGTACCCCACAAGGTGCCCCACCAAGTACCCTATCTGGCAAATGAGGTTAAATCATCGTTTAATTAACTTTAATATATCAAAAAAATATTTAATGATACGTTTAGTCGACGTCAGAGGCCTGGAAGGTCTGCATGCAAGTTTTGCATGACTGACAAGTTGCTTAACCTTATTCCGGGTATCAGTCAGACGTTTCAGCCCCTAAAAACCCTTAGACAAGTGACTAGGAAAGGTTCGTGCTGACTACAGTGTGTATGACTGGCATACCCGAACAATCCCAGATAAATGTTCAAATTTGTTGTAGTGCCAGCACCTGATTTTTTGTAAAAAAAGTGATTGCAATAAATTGATATTCTCAATAATATTACTCAGTTTTTTCCAGCATGTGGTTTTCGCTCTGGAATAGCGGCCATGAGCCACGTCTATATGCCCTGCCATCAACTCTGGCGTAGCCACTAAACTTAATTCGCCTGCCAGCAGAAATGAATAATATAAAGCTTATAAGAAATACAAGTTGTTGGCTATTGAATAATAAAAATGTATGCTTATTTAATTTTTGTGATTGTACTTATTAATTATCGTTTAGTGTATTTATTTAATTGTGGCGTCTTTTACTTTATTGAAGGCAAACCAATCATCTCTTGTCTAGTCCGTGTATATTCATGCATGGCTAGCAGTTCATGTCCCATCGGTTCAAATACTAACCCTGGTTAGTATTTAAATATTAACTGTGGTTTTGAGAATATTTGTCTGCAGCTTCCATAGTCACAGATATTTGACGAAAAATAATTAATTATTCAGTACACGATAATCGTACATTATACACTTTCGGGTTGAATACGTGAACGTACTTTTTTGAATAAACAATCGTCTAACTATTTTCGTGCTAAACGGTTACTAAAATTAATTTTATTCACTCATAATCCTACCTCTGGGAATTGCTGAATCACGAAATGTTTTAAATTTAAGAGCTCTGTTCCTATCTTCCAATTATTATGAGCTTTATATAATTACTGCTTAATATCTGTCTCTTATACACATCTAGATGTGTATAAGAGACAGCTCATGAACAATGCCTATAGAATGGGTTGATTTGTAAATGACAGTAATTCGATGTTTTAAAACATTCATATACCATCGAATATAAGGTAAAACAGATGCGTCTGGTATTTCTGCAATTCTCACCTGCATTATTTAGCGCGNTCAATGAGCAGCTGTAGTCGTTGGGAACTCCAGAGCTCTTGGTGTATGTGACGCTGCAGGCGTTCGACTGCCCCGCGATGCACACCAAGTAATTTTGGTTCGACAGCTGACGGTTTTCTGCGTCAACAGATTTGCATTTAATTTATTATCATTATTTATAATTATCAATTTATTTAGCATTCTTTTCTGTAATTAGAATCATTTAGAATTAAGTACTTCACTTCTAATTACTTTTAAGAGACGCAAGTTTTAGATGATTTTGAGTATATTTCCCAAAAATGATCAGTTGGAGTCATACACAATTATTTTCTTGACTACATAATTTATCACCTGCTGCTGGATCGGTTGGGTTCGCGTAGTTGAAGCTTTTGATGGTTCCGGAGCTCCCGGTGTAGTACTGCAGACAACCACTCGGAGCTGACCAAATAATAAATAATTGGTTTATGAATGAGCTGGTAAAATAATAAATGAACTGGTATTTGAACAAGATAAATGTTATTTCCTCCTATATATATGTAATTTTTTATGTATATGTTTTCCTGTTCTTTCTTCTTAGTTCTTGATTCACAGAACATTTATATCAGTGATAAAATAACAGTAGCAATACAAATATAATTCATTTTACTTCAGCAGTAATAATGAAATATTTCTTTCATTTCAGATCACCCTGAATAGAAGAAGAAGCAGTACAGTCGATCTGGGTTACAGAAATTTGCCATCTGGTGTTCGGCGTTGATGTTTTTACGTCCAGAAGAACATTCGAAAAACCGGGCGACACGTCAAGATACACTGCAAAAAACACATACAGCACATTAATAGACAATGAAAGCTATGTGCCTGGAGCATTTTGAGATTCTATATAGAGAACAAATACATGGTTCAAATTTTCAATCGTCTGAACTCACTATGCTGTCCGGTATTCTCGCCACAGATTGTGGGGATTGTTGACGATGCCCCGGTGACAGTAAATGAATCCTTGGTACAAACTCCGTCCTTATCGGGGCCAGCTAAGGTGAAGGCTCCGAAATCCAGGCGGATCTGACAAACGTTTTTATTGGCAGGCTTCACATTAAGCGGGCAGCTTGAGTAAACTCCAGGCTCAGAGGCTGGGTAGCTTGGATTCTGGAAGACTGCAGCACCGTTTTCAGCGTTTTGATAGCAACCTTGGTAAGTAACTGCAAAATGTACAATTCATTTTATTCGTAAGAATTCACTAGCTATGGTAGTTGAAGTACCGGTATACCTAAGTATTTATGTCTGGATCATAAGCAACATTTATTTTGTACTACTGGTATATAATTTATTTTGTACATAAAAGAAATCGAACGAATTAATTTCTAATTGTTCAATAATTTCTCTCTTACACGTGCAACAAACTCCGACCCCAAGTGCACAGTCGCCGTCGCCGGTTCCTTTCAAGTCGTCGCAGTCGCGCTGCTTGTAGCAAATGCCGGCGGTCCCTGAGTTGGTCGTGCACGGATCTGGCAGGACAGTCACGATGTCCCGGCTCCCTTGGAAAAAATTTGGTCATGATACTTAAAAAATTTTATTGGGGGTTATAGATCTACCATTCATGGCAGATAATTAAAAACATTTTGAAATATCATTTGAGCAGTCGGAACTTTCAATTACAATTCAGATATATTTACTATTTGTTAAAGTTCGTACACGAAGTCTTACTCGACGTAAACTTCCAGGTTTCCTTGAAATACAACTTCGTTTTATGTCAAAATTACCAAATTCAATTCAAAAATGGTCACTTCATTTCGATGTCTTAGCTTACACTGTGAGGGGATATATCAGCTCAAATTTGTATGTAAATTGACTTCCAGACATAAACTTCAATTATCAATTCACATTTTGATTTGGGTTCCGCTAGCTTTTCATGATGACTTTGCATGGCTGGGGCAATAGCAGAGCTTGAGGTCAGAGCCAAGCTTGTCCACAGCACCGCGCAAGCAGCGAGCAGTTCACGAGAGATCATCTTGCAGTTCTGTTGAAGAAGCCAAAGTCGAGTTATTGAATGAGCAGTATGAGGTAAAATTGTAAACGTTAAGTTAGATAGAAATTTTGAACTGGCAAATATTTTCTGCCTTTGTTTTAACGAGGTTCTTTTAATGAGCGTGTTACTTATTTCTTTTAATGTGTTGTAGTTATTAGCATGCAATTCTGAAGGCAACTGGCTTCTGATGCCAATTTCGTAATGGTGAACAACTGAACATAAATACATAAATACTAAAATTTCAGCTAAAACGTCACCGAATATCCTCTGAATTTCCGCTCCAACAAGTTTCTATAAATATCTAAAACATTTTCGTTAAAATTTCATCGAGCGATCTCAGTAAAATTTCTCGTGTGTTTCCAAGTTAACGGAGCACCATTTTGCTCCACAAAATCTAGTGCCCTATATACACTCAACGGTGCTCTGGGATGGGTCATTAATATAAATGTTACTTCAAACTGTAACTTGTTGATATTTCTTTAGCATTAGCCATTTCCCGGACACGAGATACGATATATCTTTGAAGGAATTTTCGTTTATTTTCGCCATTTTTTACACCAAGAAATAGCCTTAACATATTTTAATGTCACGACCCCCATGCTTGCACCACTATGCCTTCAGTCAGAATGATGTAACTCATATTCCCTCTAAATAGACAATTGAAAGAAAGCTGCCTTCACTTCATAAGACACTCAAATAAACTGCCTTTATGTCTTGCGAGTCGATCGCTGTTTAAGGTCGTTCTATCAAAAGCAGATGGTGGTTTTCTCAATATCATTACGACGAAATTCCGGTAAACGATTCTCTATCTCCTGCCCGTAATGTAAACAATACATGGAAAACTGTGGACTATCAGATATGCTCGTCTTATATGATGAAAAATTGAATTACCTGGAACTTCTTGATATGTTTAGTGGAATCACCACATGAAGAAACAGTTACGATATCCATATTCAAGGAACATATCGAACTTATTTCCAATAGCATTATAATGGTGTGGTGTTCCTACAAACGCTCATACGTAAGTTATCAGTAATTTATTAACTTATACGTGCATAATTCCAAGGTATGGGAAACTTTTTTCATGGTTCGATGATTAATTTTTTATAATGAATTTGTTCCTATCATCGAAGACATTGATTAAGCCAAACTTGGTAACTCAACTTTCATTGCATGATCAAATAGAATTTACTTTTAATGTGGTGTGAAATATTACGAATCAAATGACATGAAAAACCTTTACATTATAATGCGATCTTGTATTACTTATTAACTTGTTCATTCAATTGCATGATGCCAATTCATGCTCGTTCAAGAATTGGCTCGTCCTACAAGTTCAATTTTCGTATCTTCAATAACGATATCTAATGGCATTGCCTCAATGCAGCCTTTGTCGCGATTATTTTAACCAATTCACACCGAAACAAACCTAGAAAACTAATCGAAATTCCGTAGTTCCGATCACTATGCAAATCCTCACTTGTTTCTAAGTCTAAGTAGTTTGCTAAAGAAGAGCGAAATGACTCTGTTAACAATTCTAGGTTCTTCAACAAAATATAAAATAATAGGAAAATTGGTGCAAATTTCGCCAAACACAATTTTGTGATAGCGACCCATGGCGTGCAGGGCTTAAAAGTTTACCCGTGTAGTTCATCCTATATCATAGCCACGGGACTTTTCTTTTCGGTAATTTTTCTATTTCTTCCCTAGACTTGTTTTTAAACCAACGATGTGTACAGGCAGGACGCAAAATTATTCTGATCCAGCACTTGACTGACGTACATTTGGCGATAACAATAGTTTTGTACTCGTAGTTTGAAAATAACCAATGTTATCGAATACCGGTGACACTGGCGTTTGGGCACATCTAGCGGTATTTGCTTTCAATGCAGCTTATCAGTAGCTACGTTTATTGAATTGCCAACATTTTTGAAAACTAGCACACAAGATTTAAATTTTTTGGGGGAATAGCAAGATTATACCAATTATCCCGAGTTGGTCCATCAAATAATTTACCTACGGGATTCCAGTTATTCATTTTTGACGAGTCTTGTATAAGCGGCATTGATAATGGATAGTCAGAACCAGAGTGTCTATCAGTCCAAAAGATTGCCCTTAAGAAGAAGTGATCAATGCCAATTTTCCCAGGAAAAGAAAACAACTTGAACAGTTGGAAAATATCGGAATTTTTTTTTGCACTTTTTCTCCGATTACTTCTTAATTTCATTTTTTTTAACTATTTTGAAACAGGGTTGCCAGGCGGCATTTTTTTCGAACCAGTTCCGCTATTTAGTTTTATTTAATTGCGTTGGCCGGCTAAAATTTATGATAGGGGTACTTCCTAATTAGATTTTAAAAACTGTAAAAAAATAAGTGAAATTATTACGCCGGAACCTACATACTGTATATACTAGTATATATTGAATTTTTGGCCTTTTTTGTTCGCGGACTATGGTCGTTTTTTAGGCAACCTGAATTAGGTACCACTATGTCCTGGAGAAATACATTTCGTGGTATGCATATGTACCAATTTTTGTTCGAATTAATGCATCTCAATGTGAGGGTAGCTAGTAACCCTCTTCTATACTATACCACTTCAGAGTCAACGTGTTAAAAAATTCTGTGTTAAATCAATGATTAACTGGTCTGTCCAATTACGCATATGTCTTTCTAAAAACATGTACATTCACGGAAATTGTGTGGCTTCTATTTGTCCGGAATATCTCCTCTCACCATCGTCCCGAATTTCCTATATGTAGAAGTAGAAAATGGTTTCGTCCTTTATTGCCGACCGGAAGTAAGTTTTTATGATAGTCTCGTCTCGAAAAAATATATTGAGAGGCAGATGCTTTGCCTCTCTTTCATTTTCTACTGCCTAAATTTTCCGACTCGTTTAGGACAAGATTTTTTATTTTTTAAACAGTTTTTTTCCTTTGTCTTGCGAGAGAGACTTGATTACTTGAAAAAGTTTTTTCAGCTTTCAGTATAAGATAAGAGCAAGATTTCAAGATGGATCACAAAAAATTCACACGATCTCAGCTGGAAATAGTGAGTAAAAATGGTCTTTAGTCTTCTGTAGCGAACACAGTAAAGCCTATATATAGTAGACCCGTTTTGTTTCAGTCTTACGATAACTACATGCCTAATCTCATTTATTTACGTGTTCGGAATTTCAAATGACGAAGAATTTATGTTCTGACACTCCAAATTTCATCAATAACGTTAGTCTTGATGACTATAAAAAATGTAGTCAAAAGTAAGTGAAACAATACAATTTTATGCGCTGGGCGTTGCTGCGACTTAAACAAAAGAAAGGATGACATTTTCGAGAGTTTCTTCATATTATTAATTATAATTGATCAATTTTCCGATACTAAAGTCAGAATGAAGAGTTCAACCAACAATTATTCAATTAATTATGTTACTGCATTTATCAGAGCTGCTTTTCCCATCTAGGAACTGACAACATGAGAGGCACGCCATTGATGAACAATCTCGATTGGTCCATCAAGGACTTGAGGGAAGATATTAAAAATTAATCAAAATATCTTTGATTTTTGATGAAGAACAAAATTATGTCAGTTTTATTAATTCAAATTATTCTTGTAAGAAAATTTTTTTTGTTCCTAATTGAGCTTTACACAATATTTTTAGTGAAATATTGCAATTAGATTGGAGAATCTTTATTAAGTAGACTTTTTAAATTGTGTCTAGAAAAGTCAATAACAGTTTATCAAAAGGGTAGCAAGATTTCATTTTTGTATATAAAGTTCATTTATAGGATCAAGACTTCAGTTGTCGCAGTCAAAGACCAGGATCACGCGCTGGAACCCAAATTGTTATCTGCGAAACAATAGATACTATATTGTTCAATAATCTTTTCGGCAACGCTCACGCGCGGAGCAAGACGAGAAAGGAACAACAGTTTAGCTAAGTTAGTATCATAATAAAAATAAATGAACAGCGAGACAAAGTTGGATCGTGACATAAGTTCGTGATGAATTATCTACCCTCCAAAATGTAGCTAGCTATCGTACGTAGAATACCATGGCGGTGAAGTCATCGAGGAATGCCAGGAGTGTAGTCAGGAGTAACGTTAGTTACGGCGGTAGAGTTCATCATGATGAAATAACATGGAGGCAAATTTCAAGAGAGATCAGTATTCTCGAGATCAGTAGGGTAACATGGGCAAAGGGACCACTGCGGGTCAAAGGCCCATATAGCGGGTTTCTCGCTAAGAATGGTAGATATTAATTGGTCCGTGTTCTCTACCACCGGTCGACAGTTTCACTGGGATGAAGTGTACGGATTTACGTTTTGCTAAGAGTTTGCGTTAGTAAGTTTGTGAATAACTGTTTTAGCCCAGATAAAAGTTTTTTTGCTGCTAAATAAAACTGTTTTCGATTGCTGTAGATGAAGCTTTTGAAATTACTGTGAATTATATTTTTAAAGTAATATTTATAGGGATAATTTTGATATCAAGCTTAGACTATTAGTTCTTAAAATAAATGTTGACACGATATAAATTGAAATGATACCCAGTGGCGCAACGGGCCCATGTGTGTCACGGGGCAAAGAGCCCATGGTGGCTCAATACCCCTCAGTGAAGTCTTGTGTTATACATCATTAGATTTGTCTCAATGACCTTTTCAAAACTATGACTAGTTTTTTTAATTACAAATTTAGTGTTGTTTTATCACTTTTAAACGAAAAATATGCAATTGTGGTAAAGGGACCAAGGGTGGGCGCCTTGCCCCAAGCCCATGGGCCCATTGCCCCAGGGGTGGGGCAATGGGCCCATTTTGACACTTTTTAGAAAAAAGTGTATCATTAAAAAATGGATAACTCAATAGGCGCCTAATTCACATCATGCATTCCTCATTAGTTGTACCTTTAAACAAAACAAAGAATCACCTCGTATCAATTAAAACTTCATCAAAAATTTAGTTTAAAAAAAGGGTGGGGCCCGCTGCCCCATGTTACCCTATTCTTGGCTGAAGATAGTTAAACTCCCGTAAATCGGCCGGTTGTTTGACATGGTCT